ATTCAGCGATCAAAAGTTTAAGGTACTTTTTGTATTGAATCACTTTTAACATCATCGAAGAATAGAAAAAATTTCGAAATATATCATTTGGTGCAGAATTGAATGAGCTACATTTTTTAGAATGTAACTAATACTGTATTAATAATTAAGAAAATAAAGCTTCGAGTAGAAGTTTCACAACTATGAAAAGCGGTGCATTTTGTAGTGCAAAGTTTGTTCTGTAGAACGAAATCTAGGAGCCTTTTTTAACAATGCAATCTTCAAGCAAAATCATATTTCCAATTTTTATCAGTAATTTCACTGATAGTTTCTAGCTATTTTTTGCCTTATTTTGACTAAACTATTTTCTACGAGCTTGTATCTCAAGAATATCATCTTATCAGAAAGAAAGCCACTACTTCTCATTCGATAGAACAAACTCTGCACCACAAAATGCACTGCTTTTCATAGTTATGAATCTTCTACATGAGGCATTATTTTCTTAATTATTAATACAGTATTGGTCGTATTCTAAAAGATGTAGCCCATTCAATTCTGCGCCAAATGATATATTTGGAAACTTCTTCTATTCTTCGATGATGTCAAAAGTGATTCAATACAAAAAGTACCTTAAACTTTTGATCGCTGAATAAAAATAGTTTCTATCATAAAAACTGAATAGATTTAATGTTAGAGCTTTCAATATGATAGGTTTGTAGCTCTTTCCGAGAGCTATGAAAATCACTATTTGAATGTTCATTACAAGTTATTTTTGATGAAGAAACACGAAAAACAAAAAGTGTCTTAAACTTTTGATTTCTATATTACCTTTCCACCATTTATTATAAGATTTTTGAATCTAAAATCAAAATATTTTTGTTTTTTTTGTTTTTATATTTTTTGCCTCTTTAACTTACTATTCCTTTTTCTTGTAAATCAAGAATTATTTCAGAAAAACGTTCTCGATGTGGACTTCCTATAATAACAAATAAAAATATTTTTGTTTTGCTTTTAAATAATTTCCTATATAAATTTAACCTTCTGGTAATCCAATACCATAACCTTTATTATCAAGTAAACCACCAATTTGTGTTAAATTACATTCACGTTGTACAGTATATTCAATTGATGTTGATTCCATAAAAAATGCAAATGATTCAGCTTTAACACGATCAATACCGTGTTGATTACTTTTAACAAATACATCTGAATTACTACTCATATGTTTCCAAATAGTTTGATAAGTTGGAATAGTTGATTCCTTTAAAAAAGAAAACTTAAATTAATAAATAAATACAAATAAATAAATAAAAACTAACTCGAAAAAATTGTTCTGTTGAACCACCACGAAGAACACCATATTTTATTTTCGTTTGTTTAATTAAATCTTCAGCACTTTCAATTGTATTAACAAACTTTTCGACAGTTAAAAACGCAGCTAAAATTATTCGAATATATTTTATATATGTAACAGGTTGGATAGAACAAAGTATCTATTCCTGCGTTACAAAACTATATTCTGAAACATAGCCCTACAGTAACTACAACAAATAGATGACGATGTACTTTTGATGACATGTCCTTTGAGGAAGTATGTCTCAACTAAAACACATCGGGTCAAAAGTTTTTTGGATTTGGACCCGACAGGCTCTAATCTCAACTCTGTCATCTGTGATTAGAACGATGCAAACCGCAGAAAAAGACTCATTTTTGTAGAACATGAAACTCTGCACCTTCTAATAGAAAACAACAATTACTTTTTGAACCCAAAGGTTGAAGAAAATCTTCACAATAAGATGCCACATCACTAACCATAAATGTGTTTTTTACTTTTTCTCCCTATGGCAAAACAATAAGATGTCAAGATATAATGCATTAACGTATAAGTGGATAGTCCGAAAAATTTTGCATCTTTTGCGTTTTGAAATCAGTTCCTGTTGGATAATTTCCAAAGAGAAAATAGTAATTCGAGTTTTTCTGATTTTTCATTTGAGCACTCAAGATTTTATAGCTTCAAATGTTTTTTATTATTATAAAACAACAGAATATTATTATTTTTGAATCATATACAAATGCAATGTAGACAATATTTTCTATCCTGTCATACTAAAAGAAATTCATCTAATCAAATTCAACAAAAATAATAAAAAAATTTGCATATGAGCGATATTTTCTCTGTCCAACCCGTTATATAAAATAAAAATCAAATTTCTCATTTTACCTAAATTAGCTGTATATGATGAAATAAGAATTAATGTAAAAAACCACCAAATACCAGAAATAAGACGAGTTGATATAGCTGATGGACTTATATCGGCACCTTTCAAATACAAAAAGAAAAAAGAAAAACGACAATAAAATAAATTATTTTACATATTCGGTTTTTTTTTTCTTAAATCTACCTTGTTGCATTAATGTTCCAATTGAAAACCAAAGTGTATTACTAACAGTAAAACGATTTTCTAAATAATTATAATCACTATCACATGGATAAGGATTACGCCATTCATCAGGTGAACATCGAGCAATTAATAATAGAATAAAACTAACAGTAAATATAGCAGCAAATGTATATATCTAATAAATAAAAGTATTATTTTTTTTTTGTAAGTAAACAAAAAAAGAAGTTTTAAATAAAATTATATTTTACCCAAATTTCAAGTGATAATGGATTAAGAAAACTGAATAAACCTGGTTTTTCAGGTTTGGATGTTTTAAAAAGTATTGATATACCCAAACTAAGAAATGGTTTGGTAAAATCAATTTTTTTTTCTCGTGCATAATTAACTAGAATAAAAATTCAAATAAATAATTCATTATTTTATTATTATTAAGCCATCTTGGCTCAAAAAAAAAGTCAATTTTCATTAGAAATATTGAAATTGAGATAATGACATGAGAACATAGCGTCTGAAGTCTGATCTTTCATAAATAATATGATTTCTCTCATCTTCTGCTTAAGTAGCCAATTGCCTCTTTTTTTTTTGTTTGAAAAAGCATGTAAAATTGCGGTACCTGTTTTTTATTATAATATGAAGAAAAAAACATTTCTGTGAATAGATGACCATTTTTCGAGGTATTGAACTTGTCATTGACTTTTTCCGTATTAAAAAAAAGTCAGAATTTAAAAAACGGCGTTGTAGTCTGACATGCTCTTTCAAAAAATTTATAGAATAAGTGTTCACACAGTATAAATGAGCAACTTGTCAGCCTTTTGTATTGAATATCTCCCGAAAACATTATTATACAGGATTGAAAATTTTAGTTTAGTCTCTCTAGTATAATCGCAACATATTCTAAAAATTTCAATGTATCCGGCACAAGATTGACTTTAGTGTGAAGTCTTAATCTTGACTCGATAAATCTTATAAAATAAATACGTATATACTTAGGTCTGACCAAAAGTTCTGCAATCATTAAATAAAAATAT